GAAGCTTGTGCATTTGTCACGTATTTCTCGTGTCATGGTTTTCATCTCTTTCATTTCGTTTAGGACCTTCTCTGCATTAATTACTCTAGCCATCAATTCTTCCACTTTTTTTTCAAGATTTTTAGTTTCTTTGCGCTGGGTACGTAATTCCTCCTTTAGCTCTGAGAAATTTGATGGACTGAAGCCTTCTTCTCTCATCTCGTCAAAGTCATTCTCCGTCCAGCTTTGATCCGTTGCTGGCGATGAGCTGCGCTCCTTTGCCGGGGGAGATGCGCTCTTATTTTTGGAATTTCCAGCTTTTCTGCCCTGCTTTTTCCCCATCTTTGTGGTTTTATCTGCCTCTGGTCTTTGATGATGGTGATGTACTGATGGGGTTTTGGTGTAGGTGTCCTTCCTGTTTGATAGTTTTCCTTCTACCAGTCAGGACCCTCAGCTGTAGGTCTGTTGGAGATTGCTTGAGGTCCACTCCAGACCCTGTTTGCCTGGGTATCAGCAGCAGAGGCTCAGTTGAAAATGCAGAAATCACCGGTCTTCTGTGTCGCTCGCGCTGGGAGTTGGAGACTGGAGCTGCTCCTATTCGGCCATCTTGCTCCGCCCCCCTCACATGGAACTTGTATTGCTTTACATATGTGACATTCCACATGGCATATTTTTTAATTTGATTATTTTGAGAATATAATAAGTAAGCCATCTCTGTCACTGAAAATAATTACATTTTGTTGTTCACATTGTATGAAAGCAATACAAAATCTGATGTTATTTTTGTATCTTTTCTCACTCACCACAAATATCCAAAATTAGACGGAAGAATTAGGATGTCTTACTATTAGTAATACAGAATCTTAACCAGTTAAGAGAGTTACAATAACACTTCTAAATGGGCAAATAACTTTTTACTTTGTGAAATTACATGAAAATGCTCATTCCAAGTGTATTATGTTACATGCTCTATAAAATATATGAAATATAATTTTTCCACCTGAAAACCTGGAAAAATTAAATAGATTTCTATATTTGCTACATATAATCATGAAATAGCTTAAAGACATAGCACCTTTTTTGTTGTTGTTGTTTTGTTTCCTTTTTTTTTTTTTTTTTTTTTTTTTTGACAGTCTTGCTCTGTCGCCAGGCTGGAGTGCAGTGGTGCAATCTTGGCTCATTGCAACCTCCACCTCCCGGGTTCAAGTGATTCTCCTGCCTTAGCCTCCCGAGTAGCTGGGACTATGGGTGCATGTCACCATGCCCAGCTCATTTTTGTATTTTCAGTAGAGACGGAGTTTCACCATGTTGGCCAAGATGGTCTCAATCTCTTGACCTCATGATCCGCCTGTCTCGGCCTCCCAAAGTACTGGGATTACAGGCATGAGTCACCGCACCCGGCCCAGACATAGCATCTCTAATTAATGTCTCCTACATGAAAATAATTTTAACTCACTGAATTAGTTGAAAAGCATTATATGTAATAAAAGTGTTTCAGTGCAATAATGAATTGAAAAGACACCTTAAGATGTGTGCTTTGTGATTGTTGCCCAGGCTGGAGGATGACAGGAGCTTTTCAGTGGCTCAGCTCCTTTGGGGAGAACAAAGCAGGGTGACACCGTTTATTGCTGTGAGTCTTCAGATGGAAGAAGGTTTGCTCCCCCCTGCTTAGCTGTAATTGAGACTTATGTCCAGCCTCCTACTCTATTGCACATGTAAGTTTGATATTCCTAATTCAATATTATTATTTGATGTTTTGCTATATTTGACCACGTGTGAAATTTAAAACTTGTTCCTTAACAAAAGGTTTGTCAGACTTAAATACAAAAGATATGTGGCATGGCCTACTTTGCAACTGATTTATTCAACTATGTCTCAGTGGGAAGGATAGATTATGGTTGAATCTACATAAAGGACAATATAGCCACAAAAAATAAAAATGCTTAATAATGGCATCTTCCATAATATTTTAAGTATTGTTTTGAGGAGTTTGTCAGATCAATAGATACATAATTTTATTTCCTTTTTCAGAACATTATGTTATGTCTCCCTGATGATTTACTAGTTTTAGTTTATATTAAGATCTTTTCTAAAATATTTTTTTTCTGAATTCTGAGGGGTTTTATTTTTGTTTATACAAGTACCACCTTTAAGGATTAGTGATTAAAATGGAAGGATTTTTTTTTCAGACATTTATTTGAAAATAAGTAGAATTAGAAAATTAATTGTAATTAAATCACTTATTTTAGTCTCAGATAATTAAATTTTATTTTGCTAATGTGGATTTAAGAAGGCCATTCTCAATAAGCCATCTGTTTACGCACTAAAAGAATCCTGGAATCATGGCTCAGTCCTTTGGTGCAGGTGCACTTTCATAGTGACACTGTCAGATCCAACTAGGAAACCTGCTTCTATTGATTTATTTCTTAAAGTATCAAAAACGTGAGAGCACCTGGCACTGTCTTTAATGCAGCTTATAGTAGAGAAAGGAAATCAAGAAAATTCCCATGTGAGAAAGCTGAATGACTCAGGCTAATTTGTTATAATAACCAACAATCCCAGAACAGAAGAAGGTGAATTCCCCTTCTGGAGTAAAAGACAAAATCATTTCATTTGTTGCATGAGTGTCCTAGACCACAGCTGTGAGTAGAGAATTATTTCCCAAAAATAGCTTTGCAAAGGCCTCTTCTTCAACTTCAAGAGGCCTAATGCTTGGTAGAGGAGAGAGAGTATGAAATTTGAAATGAGACAAATATGAGTTTGAATACTCTCTATGGTTATCATCTTTGTATACATTTTAAAGAGTAATCACTCTAAGCCTATCTTTCTTTTTCATAAACTAGAAGTCATGCTTATTTTGCAGTATTATTATAATAATTAAATGAAATCTCCTATAAAGTAATGGGCTTTCTCTTCAGAACCAAATAATGGCTAATATGTCATAATAAAACGAGATACAATAGAACTAGAACCACATAAAAGAGTAAAATTTAATATATTTAGACATTTAAGGCCTCTTTGCTTCTCAGAGAAAGTTTTTTGTACAGAAATATTTAAACACTCTTTACTTTTGACTCATAATTTATTTAGTTGGCTATTCATCACTTTTGGTTCAATTTCCATTCCCAAAATTAGTGGTCTAAACAAGTATTCAATATCTGAACTTTGATAAAAATATAAATCATGGATTAAATTCCAAGATGGCGAAGACTATGTGTATTTTACTCACCAAAAACCTCTAAAATAGCCCTGTCCGGTAGAATACAATGGGCCGTAGGCATTCAAAAATCCCATTAGCCACATTAAAAATGGAAAAAGAAGCAAGTGAAATTTATTTTAATAATGTATTTTAAATTAATATATCCAAAATGTTATCATTTCAACGAATAATCAATATTAAAATTTTATAATGATTCAAGTATTTGTATGTTAATTAATTAAAATTAAATAAAACTAAAAATTCATTTCCTTGGTTGCACCACCATGGCTCAGGTGCTTGTAGCCGTAGGCTCCCTCATTGGGCAGTGCAGTTCTGGCACCTACCACAGAGCCTGGAACAGAGGAGGCACACAAGACGAATTGAGTACATTAAAAAATAAATAAATGAAAATTATCATAACACTCTATGTATAACGTCTCTCATCAATGGTCTGCCATAAAAATTATTGCTCTCTTTGCTCTTTAAAAGACTTTTAGAGTCTTCCTGGAAGTAATTACTAACCAAAAGGGGTCAAAGGAAGTTGTCCCATAATTGAGAGATATATATACTTATGTATATAAAAAGTAATCTGATTTTATATTTGAGGATGGGGCCCTGATAAGCAAAATTATTATATGTAGTAAAAGTTATATATATATATATATAAAAAATGTTATTCCTTTTACTATATATAGGAAAACAAATATATATACCAGTTTTATGCTATATAGTAATAATATATATAAATAAATAATATATATTTCTGTATAATATATAGTTATATATTACTATATATTATACAGTAATATATTATATAATATATAGTATGATATATAATATATAGTATAATATATAGTAATACTATATATATTACTATATAATATATATAATACTATATATATATTATATAGTATATATATAATACTATATATACTATATAGTATTATATAATTACTATATAGTAATTATATAGTATTATATAATTACTATAATATATATAGTAATTATATAATACATATTACTATGTAATAGTATAACACATATAGTAAAAGTAATAATATGATGATATTTAAAACTTGATTATTTGCACAATAAAGTTATGTATGTTTAATTTTTCCAAAAAATAATTATTTTAACAAATTCATCATCTGAATGAAAAACTAGGTATTTCATCAGAAATGACTCTACAATGCCTTTGGAAATTCTAAGGCGTCTATGTCTATCAGATCTTTCTGATATTTTCTGTATTTTTTAGAAGCTCTTTATATACGTTTCTGAGACACAAGTAATCAGTTAGAATAAAATAGTAGAGACTGTAATGCATTCACTTAAATTTAGTTGACTACCAACAGAAAAAACACATGAAAGATACTGATATGATAAGTAAACTGATGAATGAAAGAAAGCACACATTCTAAAATTCTTCACTCTCTATCCCCAGATCTTTGTAATTTAAAGTGGAAAATGGGTCCAGAAACCAATTCTACTGTGAGAAGCTGGGCCTGCCAAGTTTATGAAAAAGTTATCTTTTTAACTGTAAGTTTTTGTTGTAAAATTAAAGCTACATACCCAAATGGAGTGGAACATATAGGCAAAGTCGCTTTCAAGAGGTAGTATGTCCCCTAAATCAACAAGATTCTATTATAATCTGACTGCACACAAATATAAAGGCAGTTGTCAGTGAAGATGGCTGTGATCATTGTGGATTGCTAACAAAAGCAATATCACAGAGGCAAGTTTGAAAGGGCCTATTCTAGTACAAAAAGAGAATGAATTTCTCCTTTTGTGTGACCATGACTGTAAGCAGCTGTGGTCAATTTACCTTGAGTATTCTGGTAATTTTTGCTAGATGCCATTAAAACTTCAATCGTTTTGTGTGCTTAATCTTGATTCCATATTCAACAGCAACTCCTCATTACAACCTGGCTTCCCACGAGGGTCTACTTCTACCTTCAAGAAGAAAATATGTTGAATATATAGTTTCGCGGGAATCTGTTTTACAGGCTTTTTTGACATTGTGTGTTAGTTTTGGAACATGGTTAATATGAATCTGACCTTTGAGATACATTCACTATTGGTGAACTGACTATCAAGTTTTCAACACTGCAAGGCAGAGAGCCAGACATTGGATGATGAGAAATTCATCATGAGACTCACTACCACCTGTGAAGGCTTATAGGGATTTTTTCCTGCACACAAACTCTCAGTGTTTGTGTGACGACTTACTAAAGTTATTTACGTTGTCAGAGACTCTTCAAAGGGACAAAAATAAAAGAACTCAATGGCCATGTAATACCTTGCTTGTGCAAATAAAGTCATAAAGCTATTTATGACAACTGAACCATGGTAAAAAGAAAAGGATTTGTCTGCTCTTGATCACATGTTACTGAAATTTTAGGATCAATCATTTTCAATGTTTTCAGCATGTTTTACTTTATTCTCACTCAAAAACATAAAAACTACTAACTTAGCTTTGCATTATGAACCTGGAAGTCGAGCTTAAACGAGGAGTCTTCAAAAAGTTCCCAGAAAAAAATGTATATTGTAACAAAACTAAGCATTGATTTCAGACATTTTTGCACCAAAATAAACTTGTACTCACTTGTCATAACATGTCTGAGTAGGATGTAGTTTGAGGTACCAAGAAGGTTAAGACAACAGTTTGAAAGAGTCTCTACCAGAGCAATATGGATTGTGCTCAAAGTGAAGTGGGAAGAAACATCAAGTTTATGGTGAAGCTTTGGTGAAAGAATAGTGAAATCATTGATGTTTTACATAAATTTGAGGGGATGATGCCCCAAAGAAATCAGCAATTTTACAAATAAATAACTCATTTTAAGAAGGGACAAGATGTTGAAGATGAAGCCTGCAGTGGAAGATCGTCCACATCAATTTATGATGAAGCAATTCGTCTTGTTTATGCACTAATCGAAGAGGACTAACAATTAAAAGCTTAAACATGTTTGCAGTCCCAGCGACTCAGGAGGCTGAGGTAGGAGGATTACTTGAGCCCAGAGTCTGAGACCATCCTGGACAACTTAGAAGACTTCGTTTCTTTCTTTCTTTCTTTCTTTCTTTCTTTCTTTCTTTCTTTCTTTCTTTCTTTCTTTCTTTCTTTCTTTCTTTCTTTTTCTTTCTTTCTTTCTTTTTTTAATGCTTTTCCAAATTTCCCAATTTTATTTAATAAAATTAGTTTCAAAATAGAAAAAATGCCAATAGTTTACATACATATTTATATGGATATAATTTCACATATGGAGAAAAATAGCAAAGAAATGCAAAAAAGGATGACATCTTTTTTGAAGTTATAGAATAATGTTTTTTCCTAAGAGGAAAAGTGTTTTTAATTTGAATTTAAATGTCTTTTTTAATAAATGACCCTAATTTTAGTTTATTCCTGTAGCAAATGTCCACTTTCAAATGTAACTTATTCTTTATTTTTATTTAGTTTTTTTTTTTTTTTTTTTTTTTTTTTTTACATTAAGCTTCAGGATACATGTGCAGAACGTGAAGGTTTGTTACATAGGCATAGTTGTGCCTTGGTGGTTTGCTGTACCTGTTAATCCATCATCTAAGTTCCCTCCCCTTGTCTCCGGCCCCCCAACAGGCCCTGGTGTAAGTTGTTCCCCTCCCTGTGTCCATGTGTTCTCTCATTATTCAACTCTCATTTCTGAGTGAGAACATGCGGTGTTTGGTTTTCTGTTCTTGTGTTAGTTCATTGAGGATGATGGCTTCCAGCTTCATCCATGTCCCTGCAAAGGACATGATCTCATTCCTTTTTATGGCTGCATAGTATTCCATGGTGTATATGTACCACATTTTCTTTTTTCTTTTTTCATTTTTTTTTTTCGGTGGGGGACTTAGTTTTGCTCTTGTTGCCCAGGCTGGGGTGCAAAGGTGCCATCTCCGCTCACCACAATCTCTGCCTTCTGGGTTCAGGTGATTCTCCTGCCTCAGTCTCCCAAGTAGCTGGGATTACAGGCACCTGCCACCAAGCCTGGCTAATTTTGTATTTTTAATAGAGACAGGGTTTCTCCATGTTGGTCAGGCTGGTCTCGAACTCCTGACCTCAAGGTGCCTGCCTTGGCCTCCCAAAGTGCTGGGATTATAGGCGAGAGCCACCACACCCATCCATGTACCACATTTTCTTTATCCAGTTCATTATTGATGGGCATTTGAGTTGGTTCCATGACTTTGCTATTGTAAATAGTGCTGCAATAAACATACATGTTCATGTCTTCATAGCGGAAAGATTTATATTCCTTTGGGTATAACCCAGTAGTAGGATTGTTGGGTCAAATGGTATTTCTGGTTCTAGATCCGTGAGGAATCGCCATACTGTATTATTGTCTTCCACAATGGTTGAAAAGGCGTTCCTATTTCTCCACAGCCTTGCCAGCACCTATTGTTTCTTGACATTTTAATAATTACCATTCTGACTGGCATGAGGTGGTATCTCATTGTGGTTTTGATATGCATTTTTCTAATGATCAGTGATGTTGAGCTTTTTTGTACGTTTGTTGGCCATGTAAATGTTTTCTTTTGAGAAGTGTCTGTTCATATACTTTGCCCACATTTTTGATGTTATTTTTTTTTTTTCCCTTGTAAATTTGGTTAAGTTCCATGTAAGTTCTGGATACTAAGCATTTGTCAGATGGGTAGATTGCAAAAAATTTCTCCCATTCTGTAGGTTACTTGTTTACTCTGATGATAGTTTCTCTTGCTGTGTGGAAGCTCTTTAGTTTAATTAGATCCCATTTGTCAATTTTGGTTTTTACTGCAATTACTTTTGGCATTTTCATCAAGTCTTTGCCCATGCCTATGTTCTGAATGGTATTGCCTAGGTTTTCTTCTAGGGTTTTAATGGGTTTGAGTTTTACATTTAAGTCTTTAATCCATCTTGCATTAATTTTTGTATAAGGTGTAAGGAAGGGATTCAGTTTCAGCTTTCTACATATGGCTAGCCAGTTTTCCCAGCACCATTTACTGAATAGGATATCTTTTCCCCATTGCTAGTTTTTGTCAGGTTTGTCGAAGATCAGATGCTTATAGATGTGTGGCATTATTTCTGAGGTCTCTGTTCTGTTCCCTTGGTCTACATGTCTGTTTTGGTACCAGTACCATACTGTTTTGGTTACTGTAGCCATGTAGTATAGTTTGAAGTCAGGTAGTGTGATGTCTCTAGCTTTGTTCTTTTTACATAGGATTGTCTCAGCTATACGGGGTTTTCTTTGATTCCATGTGAAATTTAAAGTAATTTTTTCTAATTCTGTGAAGAATGTCAATGGTAGTTTGATAGGAATAGTATTGAATCTATAAATTACTTTGGGCAGTATGGCCATTTTCATGATTTGATTTTTCCTATCACTGAGGATGGAATGTTTTTCTATTTGTTTGTGTCCTCTCTTATTTCCTTAAGCAGTGGTTTGTAGTTTCCCTTGAAGAGGTCCTTCACATCCCTTGTTAGCTGTATTCCTAGGTATTTTGTTCCCTTTGTAGCAATTGTGAATGGGAGTTCATTCATAATTTGGCTCTCTATCGTTGGTGTAAACAATGCTTGTAATTTTTGCACGTTGATTTCATATCCTGAGACTTTGCTGAAATTGCTTATCAGCTTAAGGAGTTTTTGGCTTGAGATGATGGAGTTTTCTAAATATAGAATCATGTAATTTACAAACAGAAACAATTTGACTTTCTCTCTTCCTATTTGAATATGCTTTATTTCTTTATCTTGCTTGGTCGTCCTGGCCAGAACTTCTAATACGATGTTGAATAGGAATGGTGAGAAAAAGCATACTTGTCTTGTACTGGTTTTCAAAGGGAATGCTTCCAACTTTTGCCCCTTCAATATGATATTGGTTGTGGGTTTGTCGTAATCAACTCTTATTATTTTGAGATATGTTCCATCAATACCCAGTTTATTAAGAGTTTTAACATGAAGTGTTGTTTAATTTTATCAAAGGCCTTTTCTGCATCTATTGAGATAATCATGTGGTTCTTGTCATTGGTTCTGTTTATGTAATGGATTATGTTTATTGATTTGTGTATGTTGAACCAGTCTTGCATCCCAGGGATGAATTCAACTTGATCATGGTGAGAAGTTTTTGATGTGCTGCTGGATTCAGTTTGCCAGTATTTTACTGCAGATTTTCACATCAATGTTCATCAGGGATATTGGCCTGAAGTTTTCTTTTCTTGTTGTGTCTCTTCCCGGTTTTGGTATCAGGATGATGCTGGCTTCATAAAATAAGTTAGGGAGAAATCCCTCCTTTTCAATAATTTGGAATAGTTTCAGAATGAATGTTACCAGTTCCTCTTTGTATCTCTGGTAGAATTTGGCTGTGAATTCATCTGGTCCTGGGCTTTTTTTAATTGGTAGGCTATTAACTACTGCCTCGATTTCAGACCTTGTTATTGGTTTATTCAAAGACTCGACTTCTTCCTGGTTTTTAGTCTTGGGAGGGTGTATATGTCCAGGAATGTATCCATTTCTTCTAGATTTTCTAGTTTCTTTGCATAGAGCTGTTTATAGTATTCTCTGATGGTAGTTTTTATTTCCGTGGGGTCAGTGGTGATGGCCCCTTTATCATTTTTATTGTGTCTATTTGATTCCTCTCTCTTTTCTTCTTCATTAGTCTAGCTAGTGGTCTATTTTTTAAATTTTTTTAAAAAACCAGCTCCTGGATTCATTGATTTTTTGGTGGGTTTTTCATGTCTCTATCTCCTTCAATTTTGCTCTGATCTTAGTTATTTCTTGTCTTCTGCTAGTTTTTGGATTAGTTTGCTCTTGCTTCTCTAGCTCTTTTGACTGTGATGTTAGGGTGCCAATTTGAGATCTTTCAAGCTTTCTGATGTAGGCATTTAGTGCTATAAATTTCCCTCCTAACACTACTTTAGCTGTGTCCCAGAGATTCTAGTACACCGTGTCTTTGTTCTCATTGGTTTCAAAG